GGGACCGCGGCGTGCGCGCCAGGCCGGCACTGCGCCTGCGCGGGCCCAGGGGCTGCTGGGAGATGTAGTCCCCGAGCCGGGGGGAGGGGCTTGGCCTGCCCGGGGCGGAGCCAACCACAGCCCCCTTAATGCGGGTCAGCCCTCGGGAGAGGGGGGGAATACCTCCCTACAGCACCCCAGTGTGTGTGTGGGGGGGTAAATACCCCCCTCATTTTCACCTACCCCCCCCAGTGGGCTTGCCCCCCCCATGCATGTGGGAAAATGGGATTCTCACCATGTGGGGTGCAGACTTCCCAGCAGGTCTAGGGAGCCCTAACTCCCAGCCCTGCCCCACAGCAGGACTCGGCCCAGAGCAGCACAGCGTGGCCAGAACCCCAGCCCCACATCCCAGGGTGCAGCACCCCCCACCCAAAGGTGCACACACCAGCAGGCAGGACCCCAAAGGGGCTGGGGAGGGAGTGCAGGTCTTCTCACGGGCCTCCGGCCTGGGCAGCTTTAGGGTGCAGGGTCCAGCTTTTCTTGCTAACCATAAGGGCTAGAAAGAGAACGCAGAATAACCGCTGAGATTCCAAGGGGCTCCGGTCACGCGGGCGCTGGATCTTTCAGAAAACACCCGGCGAGAGCTGACGGCTTGGGCCAGCCCCGAGGCCCTGGGAAAGGGTCTGTCTGTCTATCTGTCAAGGGATCATTGTTGGGGTGGGTGCTGGAGCTCACCCCGTACGAAACCTCTCTCTGCTCAGCCCCCCCAGTTATGTTAAAAATCCATTTACCTGCAGAGAAGTTTTCTAGCCTTGTGTCCATCCCCATCCCCCAGACAGACTCAGAACTGGTAGGCTAGAAAGGGTCATCTGGCCAAGCCGCCAACACCGAGGCAGGACCAAATAAACATCTCTGAGAGGAGAGGGGTTTTAAGAACAGATTAGACAATGACAGGGATTCCACAACCTCCTCTGGTCATAGATTAGATATCAGGAAAATCTTCCTAACCCCTCTTTTGAGTCCCCTCTTTACAAATTGGATTTATTACACTTTTACCTCATGCGCAAATATTTCCCAGCCTGAACCTGTACAGGGCCCTGAATTCTATTTCATTCCCAATCCCCTATTACCCAGGACCTCACAATCCCGGCACTTGTCCAGTTTCCTCTGAACTAGCCCCTGCAATTGTGGGTCCCTAGCACAGAGCAATAGCACCTCTCTCCCTTTGGAGTCTGTTTGGAAATCGGAGTAAAAACCATTTCTACAAAGTCCACTGACAACGGGAACGTGGGGAAAGCAGGTTTATTCCAGCGGTGACACAAACTAGAGACACCCGGAGAGAATTGTCACCTGGCAACACACCAGGGGGAACAGGGAGCTGGTGACATTTGCGCATTCGTTACAGGTCCCAGAATCCTGCCTGGAGCCTCCGGCGGATCTAACCTGCCCCAGAGACAGGGCGGTTCCCCGGGCTCTGCTCTGGAAGAGGTGTGTGGGGCACAGTACCTCGCGAATGCGCAGCTTCTGGCCGCCAGGAGCGGGGCCTGGCACTGCTGGGTGATCCCAGGCCTTTGTGTCTGCAGGGAGGGGCCAGGCCCAGGGCCGGACGCTGCTCCCCCGGGGCAGCTGTTGGGTGAGTTGGTTGACGGAGGGTCACAGATCGGACACATGCACCGAGGCACGCGGTCACACACACACACACACGGCCCACACGTGAGCCCTACGCAAATAAGGGACTTCACCCTTTCCCGCCCCCACACCGTGCCCGTGCCCCAGGAGCTATCGCGCACTCCCTACCCCAAAGTCTCTGGGAATTTCTAGAGCCCCCCTGAAGTGGGCCCCTGTTGTCTGTAGCCAGGCCCCTCCCGCCAGCCTCTGATACAGACAACAGGGGCCCACTTCAGGGGGGCTCTAGAAATTCCCAGAGACTTTGGGGCAGGGAGAGATGCCAGGCCCTGCTCCTGGCTGGGCTCTGCCGCCCCATTAGGTAACTCACAGGGCCAGAGGAGGCTGGCTCAGCCCTTCCACGGGCGGAGGAGGAAAGGCCTGGAAGGCCGGGTGGCTATATAAGGCGGCCCTGCGGCTGCTGGCAGAGCGAGAGCCCCCAGCGCGCCAGGCAGGTGAAGGCAGCCGGAGTCTGGGCAGCAGTACCATGCCGAGCTGCTCCCGGTACCTGGTGCGGCTGCTCCCGCTCAGACGGTGGCCGTCGCGGGGCTTCGGCCCCACGTGGGTCTGCAGCAGCGAGCCGGGGAGCCCCCTCCTGGGGCCGGCCCCCAAGAGCTGCTTCGAGCAGGTGGCGGGCGACGTGCGCAGACACCTGGAGGAGATGGCCAGGATACGCCGCGCTGTCTGCCAGGCCCAGCCGCCCCTCCGCTGGGAGCCTGCGGGCCAGAGGCAGCTGGGGGAGGCTGGCGATGCCAAGGCGGAGCTGGGCTCCCCGGGGCCGCGGGAGGAGAAGTTCCAGCTCTCTGTGGACGTGGCCGGCTTCTCCCTGGAGGAGCTGACGGTGAGGCTGGAGGGGAGGAGCGTGATGGAGGCTGGGAAGCGTGAAAAGCAAAGCACGTGAGAAGAGGGGGGCCGCAGACGGGAATACAGGGAGCTGCACACACAGGCTGTGCTGCCAGAGGACGTGGATCTCCAGGCCGTGACCTGCTCCCTGTCCCGGGACGGACAGCTCTGCATCCAGGCTCCGCGCCTGGCCCCGGCGCCCATGGAGGGGAGAGCCTAGGGTGACCAGACAGCAAATGTGAAAAATCGGGACAGGGGGTGGAGGGTAAGAGGAGCCTATATAAGGAAAAGACCCAAAAATCGGGACTGTCCCTATAAAATCGGGACATCTGGTCACCCTAGGAGAGCCCTTCCCATCCGCATGCAGCACGTGGAGGAAGCCGGGGAGGGGAAGGAGCCGCGCAGCAGCGAGGGGCTGGGCAGGGGACCTGCGGGAGGGAGCGGGGGAATGAGGGGGTCCTGCAGGAGGGGCTAGGCAGGGGACCTGCGGGAGGGAGCAGGGGAACGAGGGGGTCCTGACCCACCAGAGGTGCCAGCGCCCCTCGCCCCAGAGCCCACAGCCATGGCCGGGCTGCCAGCCCTGCCTGCTCCGGCCCTGCGCTCTCGCGGGGTACTGTGCTCCCCACGCCTCTTCCGGAGCAGAGCCTGGGGAACTGCCCTGTCTCTGGGGCGGGTTAAATCCGCTGGAGGCTCCCGGCAGGATTCTGGTACCTGTAACGAATGCGCAAGTGTCACCATCTCCCTGTTCCCCCCTGGCTGTGTTGCCAGGTGACGATTCTCTCCGGGTGTCTCTAGTTTGTGTCACCGCTGGAATAAATCTGTTTTCCCCACGTTCCCGTTGTTAGTGGACTTTGTAGAAATGGTTTTTACTCCGATTTCCCAGTGACCGGGGCAGGCTGGAGCCCGAGCCCCATCCCCCACATGTGGCCGCCCCATGCACTGGCTGAGCCGTCGGGGCCCCGCTTCCTGCTAGAGGTTTATACACCGTCATAGCTAATGTCATTGGCGTGAGCCTGGCAGAGGGTCAGGCCCAGTCCTGCGGGTCCAACTGGCAGCAGCGAGCCCATTGGCTGAGTGGCTGCCGCTCTGCATGGGGGCTTGGGAGATGGGGCCCTAATGAGGGACTGATGGAGAGGGGTTCCGGGTGAGGAGCACACTGGCCCTGGGACAAACAGCTGCTGGCTGGCACATGCCCGCCCCCTGCCCGGGCTCCCATGCACACAGGCTGCTTGGCACAGCAGGGCCCTGGAGCCGAGACTGTTGTACTGCAAACTTCCCGCCCCTGCGTGAGACTCTGGGTCCCTGGGCAGGGCCAGGCGCTCCCCGGAGTTACTGCCTGCATGTGGCTGGAGCTGATGGGGGCCTAGCGCCGTCCTCGGTCACTGCCACTGCCACTCACCCAGAGCCGTGGGGCAGCTGGATGGATCCCGGCTTGGCACATGCTGGTGCGCTGAGAGAGCCGAGGGGAGCCCGTTCTCTGGCCATGCAGGCGCTACAGGAATGATTGGGCTTGGCACTGGACCAGCTCCCTGGGCCGGTAGGAAGCAGGGACCGAAGGGGCTGGCACCAGCGGTAAAGCCCCAGGGCTCCGTGCAGGTGAGAGGCAGCTGCATGGAGGAGCCGCGCTCATCCTCCCCGGTGCTCTGTGGATGTGGCAGGTCTCTGCACCGGGGTCCCCACCTCCCCTGTCCCCCTGGTGGCTTGGGATGGCCCAGCAAGCACCCTTCCTCAGTTTCCCTCCCAGGTTCCTGGAAATAATCTTTTAATTAATGCCCCTCCCACTTCCCTCAGGGGGGGGTCTGATTTATGTACCCCAGGCGAGCCCTGCACGCCAGCCCCTTTCACCCAGCACTAGGCTATGGGTTTGCATGGCCCTGCCCCTCTGGGCTTTGTGCCAGCTGAGCTCCGCCGGCTCAGCCTGTGCCTCACCCCCAGCCTCCAGTGGAGCCCAGGAGCCTGTCTGGCACCCCCCCCCCCGATGTTCCCCCCAAGGCAGGCAAGCTGGGCGTGTCCCAGGGGGGAACCCACTTCCCCAGAAGGGGCCAGCTGCGCGGGGCCAGCCTGCGCCATGATAACGTAGACGTGGCCCGAGGAGGCGCCCGCAGCCAGTGCTGGCACCGGCCGGTCTTGGCGAAGGCAGCACCAGCCCAGGGGAAAATCCGGAACGTTTATTTCATATAAAATACATTACACGCCGTGAATCTGGCTTGCAGCCAGCCAGGTACCCAGGGCCCAGCTAGGGTGACCACATTACATGAACAAAATAGCGGGACGCATGGGGCCGGGGGGCAGGTCCGGAGCGCCGCCGAAGCGAAAAAAAAGTCAAGTCTCAGCCCTGGCGCCTGGATTCTGCTCCCCCTTCTCCGCCCAGCTCCCCCGGGGCCGCTGCCAGCAGCTCAGGCGGTTACCCCCGGGCTCTGCCGTCGGCCCCGGCCTCTGAGCCCGGCTCAGCCGGTGCTGCCGAGCCGCCCGCAGGGCCGAGCTGGATGGGCACGTCCCTCGCGGGGAGGGCTGGGGGGGCCAGGCACGGGGCTTCGATGCACAGCTGCCCCTCCCTGGAGATGGAGCAGGTCAGGCGGTCGGTGTCCACGGCCTCGGGCACGTCCCACTCCCTCCTGAACACCTCGTACTTGTAGGAGAAGGAGCCTTTGCCGTCCTCGCTCTGCGTCTCCTTCCTGCCCGTCAGCAGCACCTTCCTTCCCACCAGCGTCACCACCAGCTGCTCGGGCGCAAAGCCCCGGACGTCCTGTCGCACGGCGAAGGGCTCGGCCGTCCCCTGGGCCAGGGCCACGCTGGAGCTCTGGCCTGGCTCCCCGCCGGGGCTGCCGCTCCCTCCGCCAGCCAGGAGCCGCCCCATGCTGCTGGCAAAGTCCCTGGCCTGCTCCAGCTCCCGCAGCAGCTCAGCGAAGAGGGCCCCCGGGGCCGGCCACAGAGTGCGCACGGGGCCCAGCCGGGCAGCCGGGGGGTCGTGGGGGGGCCGCAGGAGGTGCAGGCACCACAACATCGCTGCTTCTTGGGCTGCTGCTGGCTCGGGGATGAGTCCTCTCCGGCAGGGCCGGGGGCCGGCAGCTTTTATCCCCTCCCGTGGGGGCCTGGCCCCTTCCAGAGCCCTCTGGCCCTGACGCCCCCGCCAGGCACCAGGGCCTATTTTTATGAGGCTGATGGCTCGGGATTACTCATGGGGCAAAATAACAGTGACTGCATCCCTGGCCTGGCTTCCCCCACTCCAAATAGAGCAGCGGGACACGCAGCCACCGCTCGGGTTACAGCAAGTGCTTCTCCCCCCCAACCAGCCGGGGGCGGGGGACACCTTGGCGCCGGCTTTTACCTGCTGTGGGGATTAGCCTGGAGCGGGGGCTCCGGTGTGATCACAAGGGGCCCATCCGGCCTGGGGAGCAGCGGGCAGGAAACCCCTGGGGCTGAGAGGGGTTCACGGCCGAGCAGCACAAGGCCAAGGGCGTCTTTCAGGCCCTGCGCGCTTCCCCTGCCCCCCGGCACCGAGGGTCTCGCTCGGGGGCAAGGGAGCAGTTCTTTAGCGCCTGGCGATTCCAGAGGCCAGCCAGCTGTTCAGCGCACTCCCCAGCGAGGCAGGCTGAGGGGCACACGGTCCAGGTCTGTCACCTCTAGCCCCCCGTAAACGGACCCCCAGCACTACGGCTCTGCCAGGCCAGGCCGTGGGACGGGCCCTTCAGTGCCCTGGCTGGGAAATCAACAACTGCCCTTGGGTGGGGCTTGAGTCCCCTCGTTAGCCCATCGCGTGATGAGTTATCACTTGTATGACAGTAGCAACCTGAGCTGGGACACCTGGGACCCATGAGCTGGGCCTGGTTCACACAGTGAGGAATTTCCGGCCGCAAGCATTTACAAGCTAGTCAAGGTGTAGGGAGGAGAAACTGAGGCACAGAACAGGGGAGTGACATGCCCAAGGTCACTGGCAGAGCTGGGAATAGATGCTGGGTCCCCCAAGTCCCAGCCCGTGGGCCGACCCACTCCACCCCACTGCCTCTCTGCTGGCTGCATTGAATTGGGGACGTGCCTAAGTTCTGTGGGACAGGGTCTTCTGAGCCGGGCAGGTGCACCCTGGGCATTCAGCTAAGGGCAGTCATTCCCGCTGCCCGGTGTGCGCAGCCTGGCGGGGCGGGGCGGAGCTGGCACCTGAGGGGAGAGACCAGCCCTGGAGGCCTGGGGCAGGGCTGGGCCCGTGCCGGGGCTCCGCTCCGCCTGGCGAAGGAAGGACGGTCACAGGCCGTTGGCAGGGGGGTCGTAGAGCTGCCAGGAGTTTTTATTTAGAGGCTGAGACGAGGTTGCTAATTATAAGCTGGCAGGAGGGCAGAGCCGTGAGCCAGGCATGCGGCTGGGAGCTGCCTGTTCTGGGCACTGAGTAATGGGAATGGGCTATCCCATTCAGCCAGAGGGTTCTGGAAGGGGCCAGGCCCCCACGGGAGGGGATAAAAGCTGCCGGCCCCCGGCCCTGCCGGAGAGGACTCAGCCCCGAGCCAGCAGCAGCCCAAGAAGCAGCGATGTTGTGGTGCCTGCACCTCCTGCGGCCCCCCCACGACCCCCCGGCTGCCCGGCTGGGCCCCGTGCGCACTCTGTGGCCGGCCCCGGGGGCCCTCTTCGCTGATCTGCTGCGGGAGCTGGAGCAGGCCAGGGACTTTGCCAGCAGCATGGGGCGGCTCCTGGCTGGCGGAGGGAGCGGCAGCCCCGGCGGGGAGCCAGGCCAGAGCTCCAGCGTGGCCCTGGCCCAGGGGCCGGCCGAGCCCTTCGCCGTACGGCAGGACGTCCGGGGCTTTGCGCCCGAGCAGCTGGCGGTGAAGCTGGTGGGCAGGAAGGTGCTGCTGACGGGCAGGAAGGAGACGCAGAGCGAGGACGGCAAAGGCTCCTTCTCCTACAAGTACGAGGTGTTCAGGAGGGAGTGGGACGTGCCCGAGGCCGTGGACACCGACCGCCTGACCTGCTCCATCTCCAGGGAGGGGCAGCTGTGCATCGAAGCCCCGTGCCTGGCCCCCCCAGCCCTCCCTGCGAGGGACGTGCCCATCCAGCTCGGCCCTGCGGGCGGCTCGGCAGCACCGGCTGAGCCGGGCTCAGAGGCCGGGGCCGACGGCAGAGCCCGGGGGTAACCGCCTGAGCTGCTGGCAGCGGCCCAGGCAGAGCGGCCAAGAACAGATTTTTGGAGCCTAAAACAAGTGGCTTCAAAACTAGCATCAGTTTTTGTCACTATGGTCAGAGCAAAAGTGATTCCAAATAGTTTTTGTACCAAATCAAGTTCTCTCCCTAGAAGTCAGCCCCTGCTGGTTGGTGTGGGTCCGGCTTGGCTGCTGATGTACAAGGATTAGGCCCCATGGGGCAGGACAGAGCAGCAGGAGAAGCAGCGCCGGGTCCATCTACACCGCACACAACCCTGGCTCTGCAGCCGTGGAGCTTCCAAGCCCTCCCTCGAGCAGCTCCCTGAACTCAGCAGAACCTGCAGGACAGAGGGGGTCTCGGCCCACCCCGCTCCAAGGGAACAGGCCTGGGGGGTCCCTCCCGCAGGGGGGGAAGGGGCAAGCAGGGCTCCCTCCCAGAGCAGGGCCCCTTCTAGCACTGCCAGGGCCTTTGTATCATCCTGTGCAGGTACCGGCGCCACGCCCAGCTGCCAGAAAAGGTGGGGAGGTTACAGGACATTCAGCTCAAGGCCCCAGAAAGGGGGGGGGTAATCTAATGGATGGAGAGAAGAGCTGGCAACCTCGGCCGCCTGGCTTCTAGCCCCAGGCTCCTCCCCTTTACTCTTAATTAGTCACAGCTCCTTGTAGGGACAAGCAGCTTGATACCACGGCATCCGTCCTACACAGGTGGTGGGCAAGTCACGCCCTGGCTCCGGGCTCTCCATCAGGACAAGGGTGGGAAGAGGCTGGCTCCTAAACCCTTTGTGATCAGGTAGAAGCTTCTCATGAGACTGACCCAGGCAATCCAGGGACAGGGGGTGCTTCGAGCTGCAGCAGAACGCCTGGAGCATGGCCTTAGCCACCCTGCCCTGCAGCACGTAACTTGCTGCCCTAGTTCATTGCTGCGAAGGTGCTGAGCTTGGACCACAGCTGGGGACCTCGGGGCAGGAGGCTGTAAGTGAAAGGAGACAGGAGCATCTGCAATTCGCTAGACTCAGGAGGTGCTGGCTAAACAGAACAGGCAGTAAAGGGCAGCGTTTTATCACTTTAGTTAAGTGAAAGGGAGACATTCCCGCTGGCCTCAGCCAAAGCACCAGGAAGGTTAGATGCCCCCAGCCCTAGAGCAAGTCAGCTCTTCACCTTGCAGTGGGGGTAGAAACAGCTCCCTATTACCGCTTTGAACGGTTTCTAGCGAGACGCTGGAGGAGACTGCTGGCTGCTTCCTGCATCTCCCATTACTCTCGAGAGCAGCTACCACCACGATTCCAGGTGGAAAACGGGAGAGGCCAGGCGTGCCCAACAAAGGAACAAGCCAGCAGGAGCAATTGTGTGAGGAAAATACAGTACAGAGCCCGCCCCCTTAACACTGCCCCTGTGCTGTGGCTGCCCTCCGCTAACGGCAGCGGTCTGAGGCTAGTGAGAGTGGCTTTCCCATGGCATTGGAAAGGAGTGTGCAGAGAATTATCAAGTGGGCTGATCTTCACACGGTCCCTGCCTGTTCAACACCTTTACGATCTAGGGCTGGGATCCTCCCTCCTCACAGCTTGGTTCTACCATACGCAGCGCAAGGAGCAGCAGGTCTCACTTCGTTTTTAATCACAGGACTGGCAGGGACCGAGAGGTTGTCTAGTCCAGTCCCCTGCACACACGGGAGGACTGAGTATTATCTACTGACAGGGGTTTGTCCAACCCGCTCTTAAAAATCCCCAACGACCGAGATCCCACACCCTCCCTGGGCAATTTAGTCCAGTGCTTAACCACCCTGACAGTTAGGAAGTTTTTCCTATTGCTGCAATTTAAGCCCATTGCTTCTTGTCCTGTCCTCAGAGGTTAAGAAGAACAATTTTTCTCCCTCCTCCTTGTAACAACTTTGTATGTACTTGAAAACTGTTCTCATGTCTTCTCTAGCCTAACCAAATCCACTTTTTTCAATCTTCCCTCCTAGGTCATGTTTTCTAGACCTTTAATCATGTTTGTTGCTCTTCTCTGGACTCTCCTGTTTGCCCACATCCTTCCTGAAATGCTCCCCTTGTACACGCAGAATCAGCGAGGGAAGAGGCGGATGTTCGCTTTCCTGGGATAAGGGACCCTGCTAGTGGCAGGAATGAGGTGCCTCTGACGGCAGCACTGCCCTGCCAACTAGCAGTTACTGTAGCAGGAAGTTAAGGTACAGACGGCAGGCGTGATGGTCCCTTGCAGCAAAGCGCTCCCCATGCTGAGGGACACCTCACAACACCCACTCCAGCCATTAGCTCATGCAACCTGCTACTAGGTAGAGCACTTCCTCTGTCTGTATGAACATGGGGGCAGAGATGTGGTTACTGTTTAAGACAGCTGGGCTGGTTGTCGCTTCTACCTTTGCCCTGTTCAGATTTGGAAAAAGGAAGTTCAGGTAACAGCGCTGTCATTTTCCACATGGCAAACGACAACCTGTCTCGTCCGTGGATTTCTGAAATTCAGGATTGCTCTCCAGCTTCCTCGGTGCATTGCTAGTGCTCAATGTTGCTGCAGTTGCGGGAACAGTTACTAAATCCTTCAAGCCATCAGACAGGTGATGGGCATGGTGGGCTTTGGGATCTAGACCTTTTCCTCCAGGCTGCCATCTGTAGCCAGATACGGCCACTTTCATTTTATGGAAGGCTGGTTTTTCCTGTGCATTTTGCCACCCTCTAGGCCTGGTTCAAGCTGGCACTGGTTCTGCGCCTTGTAGAGTCCCTGTGTTCTCAAGGGAATCCATTCAGTTTTCTCCACCATGCCTGCCCTTTACCATCAGCATTTCCACGCACGTTAGGCAGCTGTACCTAGCGCAATGGGGAATCCAGACACCGCCACTGTAATTGACAAGGAGGAGTGAGAAGAAGTGTGATAGAGTCAGGAGACCTGGGTTCTAGTCCTGATCGGCCACTGGCCTGCTGGAGGATCTGGGTAAGGCACTTGTGCCTCCATTTCCCCAAGTGGAGAGTGGCAGTAACAATACTGACCTCTTTGGTCGAGTACTTTGAAATCTTTCATGTTGTGCACAAGGAGAACAAATTCATAATGAAACTACACTGGCCAGTTTCACTTTCAGGTACTAGCCTGATGTGTGGGGAACACCCAAACCCACATTTCATTTACATGGCTTTAATAAAACTCAAACGTTTCTGGGCACATTGGATTTATAAAAATTTTTTTTAATCACACAACATAAGTTTGTGATGAAGACTAAGTTGACAGTTCCTCTTTAAATACCAATCTGTATAACATTGCATCAGGCACTAGGCAGCAGCCAACGTGAGTTAGACTCCAGCAACAGAAGCAATTTTAATACCTCCCTCCAGGTTTTATTTTGTGGAATTACAGGTTTAATACAGATGGTTTCCACAGACAAATTCCTCCCAGTCTCCCCCACCCCCATCTCTGTACATCAGTAAACCAGAGCGGTTTGCACTAGAGCAAGGTTATTAACATTAGTGGCATCACATCACTGTCAAAAAGGACAATTTTCTTTTGTTTTTATACAAGATTTTTTTTTTTGCAAAAAAATTGCAAGAGGATTATTAGTGCATTACACCAGAACTGAAGAGCTAGAAAAGAGTTGGCATGCTAAAGTCCAACACCAAGAGAAGGACGACAGAAGGCTAGTTGGTATGTACTATATTGACAAGATACTGATTGGTTACATGTTGAAGAAACGTACAATACAAAATACAGAAGAAACCAGTTTTGCTCCCCTCTGCCCCCCCTCACCCTCACCCCAAAATACTCATCATTGTGATTTGGTCAAGCCAGAGCTCGGACGCCGGAGCTGAATGGCATTCTAATGCTGTGGTTGTGTTTAGTGGTTGTTCTAGGCATGTGGCACTGAATGAGCCGTGGCTTGTTCGTGTGGATCGCTCCGAAACAAGAGCCCAGCTACGGGACGAAGGACCCTTGTTTCCAATAGTGAACGAGAAGCTTGTGGGAGGCGTTTGGCTCTAGCCCTCGCCTAGCAAAGGCGGGAAGAGCCCAGCCCACGGATCCACCGCCAGGAAGAGGGAAGAGCAGTTCATATATTAAAAAAGTGACTTAAGACTTAAAATGGAATTAGTATTTGTACAGAAAGGTGCAGGTGGACTAGCTCCCTCCAGCCTAGGATCAGAAGGAGATGGAGAAATCACGGCAGCCGTAATGGCCAGCTGCTCTACCGTAAGTGCGATTGGGTCGAGTGGATTCCAGCCAGGTCATTGGAAGGGCTTCGGTCAGGTGGGAACGGCGGCTCAGTTGCTGCAGCACTGGCTTCGGCTGGGTTGGCTGGTCTCTTGCAGGTCCACGCCCCGATTCCTGCCCTGAGCGCCGGCCGCGTTTTGGGGTTCGTTTTTCGGCAGCTTCTTGGCTGGAGGGAGAGGAATGGGTCAATGCAGCTCACGTGCAGAGGAGCTGGTGACGCCTGACGACAGCTCCCTGAGCTCTGCTCCGACACGGAGCTCTCGTGTTCCCCCAGGGAGGTGGCCTTCGTGCCGCGTCAGCCAGGACTTGGAACTGGAAAGGGAAGTGCCAATCCCAGGTGTGCCCAGCACATGGGCTGCCCAGGACTCTGGCAGCACTAAACTGGAGTGGGCAGGCTCCGATTCTCTCTCTGGCTGCTCCTACTGTGCGGGGGTGGTGGGGGGAGGGGGCCTTTAACCAGCAGGGGTGGCTGTGTCCAGCCGGGCAACTGGACTGCTCCCCGGGCAGTGACTTGGTCCTGCTCCCCCTCGCTGCCCTGGGGCGTAGAGTCAGGGGATTGCTGGGCAGGCAGGCGGCACACAGCACAACGCTGGTTTGCGAAGGTGCATACAGACATCGCTAATGGCACTGCAGCTACCCCACTTACCTATTGCCATAAAGATTTCATTCACATTCATCGCCGTCTTCGCCGAGGTCTCCATGAACAGCAAGCTGTTGTCGTCCGCATACGTCTGGGCTTCCTGGAGGCAATCACAGGAGGGTAAGGCCTTACGCTCACACAAGGGGCTCCCCCCTTCCCCAGGGGGTGGGTGGGCTGGAAGGCAGGCAAAGGATAGACCAGCAGCCTGGGCGCCTCTGCAGCCCCATCACACTAGGTTCTGCTGCTTTGCCTTCTTCCGACAAGTCCCCTCGCGCCCTGGAGGACTCGTGCGGCTGCACTTGATGGCGCGGCTCAGGCTGGCATCCCACCTCCCCACCCACACATCTGACAGCACCACCGAGATCTCCCGCCAGCTGCCCCGCTGCAGGAGCGCTAGGCAGGCCTGTCTGGGACGCTGCTCGCAAGGGTTCTGTGCGACGCCCGCTAGCTGGGAAGCACATGGGCCAGGCTGCTACGGTAGCGACCCAACCTGCATCTCAGTGCCACGCACAGAACTGCGGCGTGATGGGAAGCGACGTGGAAAAGCCTCAGGACACGAGCTCAGCATTAACCAAGCTCCCTGGCTGAGGTGGGAGCTGGCAGGGAAGCCGTTTAAAGAGCCGCCTTGGAAAGGCTCCTCAGACGTCTGGCTGCTGGCGGGACGTGGCTCATCTGCCTTGGGGAAGGAGGCAGCTGGCCGAAGGGTGGCAGCATAGCGAGCGTGGGCAGAGCACACCAGCGGAGACGCTTTAGGGGGTCAGCCTGTTCCAATCCCCACCCGAGACGGGCCTGCCCCACGGAGGAGACATGGGCTCTGAAAGGAGTGGATGGACACAAGTGGGCTCCACTTCCCTTCCAGCAGGGCTGGGGGGTTACCATGTTGCAGCCACCTGGAACAATGCAGCCGCTTGGATAGGCTCCAGCCGGACACTGGAGATCAAGGAAGGAAAAATTCTGAACGAGGGCAGCGTCTGCGCCGATTCTTGTTACCTGGAAATCCACGGCTCTCTTGCTCGCAAGGTCGGCCTTGTTGCCTGCTAATGCAATTACGATGTTGGGGCTGGCCTGCCTCTGCAGCTCCTTCACCCAGTTCTTGGCCCGTACAAACGTGTCCTAGAAGGAGGCAGGAGGCAGGGTGAGGGAGGGCAGCCCCTCCCCCTTCCTGCCCAGAACAGAGGCAGGAGAGGAGAAGCTGGATATCAGTCAGTGTGCCCTTGTTGCCAAGAAGGCTAATGGCATTTTGGGCTGTGTAAGTAGGGGCATTGCCAGCAGATCGAGGGACACGATCGTTCCCCTCTATTTGGCATTGGTGAGTCCTCATCTGGAGTACTGTGTCCAGTTTTGGGCCCCACACTACAAGAAGGATGTGGAAAAATTGGAGAGTCCAGCGGAGGGCAACAAAAACGATTAGGGGGCTGGAGCATATGACTTATGAGGAGAGGCTGAGGGAACTGGGATTATTTAGTCTGCAGAAGAGAAGAATGAGGGGGGATTTGATAGCTGCTTTCAACTACCTGAAAGGGGGTTCCAAAGAGGATGGATCTAGTCTGCTTTCAGTGGTGGCAGATGACAGAACAAGCAGCAACGGTCTCACGTTGCAGTGGGGGAGGTTTAGGTTGGATATTGTGAAAAAGATTTTCCTTAGGAGGGTGGTGAAGCACTGGACTGGGTTCCCTAGGGTGGTGGTGGAATCTCCATCCTTAGAGGTTTTTTAAGGTCAGGCTTGACAAAGCCCTGGCTGGGATGATTTAGTTGGGAATTGGTCCTGCTTTGAGCAGGGGGTTGGACTAGATACCTCCTGAGGTCCCTTCCAACCCAGATATTCTAGGATTCTAGTCAGCAAGGAGAATGGTTTACCTCCAAGCACTGTGGGCCAAGGCTCAGTGGCTAGGTCACTACAGAGCCCAGTACAGAGCCCAGGGGAAGTGACACATGGGGCATGTCAGAGGAAGGGTTAACCCCCCCCCAAACTGCCGGCCCCCAGTCCTGAGCTGACACCATCCCTGCAGCGTCCCAAGGAGCAGGGTACCCAGACACTGCCCCTTCTCCCCTCCAGCAAGCCAGTCTGTGGCCAGCAGCTCAATACTCACCGTGTTGGTGATGTCGTAGACGACAATGGCTGCCTGGGCACCCCTGTAATACATCGGGGCCAAGCTGTGGTATCTTTCTTGTCCCGCTGTATCCCAGATCTCAAACTTCACCGTCGTGTCATCCAGACAGACGGTCTGCGTTAGGAAGGCAGCTGTGGGAGAAGTGACTGGTCAGTTCTAAAGGAGCCGGACAGCCCTGGGTTAAGCCAGCTGGCCTTTGAGAACCTGGTTCTCTTTGCGCTCGTGTGACACCCACCCCACGTTCACTGCCTTTATATGGTTCGATTTGTACCAAGGCTGCCTTGGGAGGTACCCTTTGAAAACTCCTAATCTGCTGCATATGATCCCATTGAAATGGGTGTAACATCACTGCATGTCAATTGAGGAGATGTGGCTCTACAGTGGTCACTGCAAGACGTAGTTCTGGGCAATGCTCAGAGACAGACACCCTAGCACGCTAGCCAAGAGCTAAGAGCCCTTACCTGCTGAACGGGGCATTCGCCAGCAGAGGGGAGCTGTGAGCAGGACATGGACAGTTCATCTGAAGGACAGTTTGGCGCTCCCATACACAAGGGAGCTGCCTGCCCTCGTGACCCAGCCAGGGTTTTTCCAGTAGAAAGGATGAAGTGTGGGGGGGAGAGAAGAGAGAGAGGAAGTGTCCCTAACAACCTCTTCCCAAGGGTGCCAGAACAGGGGGACCAGAGGGCTACAGCCCCATCACTTTTTACCTGCCTTAAGGGCCCGTGACTGGGGTGTGGAAGTATTCTCCAATAGAGGGAAGGAGCGGAGAGGAGCGAGCAGGGGGCAAGGCCTGAGGGGAGGGGCGGAGCAGGTATGGGGCCATGGCTCAGATGCTAGTACCCCGCCTCTTCCCCCTCCCCACTTCTAGGGAGCTTCCAGCACTCTTGCCTACAGTACTTGAAAGGCAGAAAGAAACATTGAACTGGGGGCGTGACCCTGGCCAGGAGGTTTTCCAGCCACTCCAGACTGCCAGAAGCTATTGGTGAGAAATCTTTTCTGCTTTTAAACCAATTAGTCTTGGTAAAGTTTTGGAATTAGCTTACGGTTTTCTCCTTTTATTTCTTTAGTAACCACTTCTGACTTTTGCCTTACCACTTGAACTCTCTCGTTAATAAACATGTTTTAGCTAAAGCAGTGTGTTTGAGAACCTCTCCTGGGGATAAAGGCTGGTGCAGGATCACTCCCAGTGTGGGAACGATGGACCATCTCCGAGCTCATCCTGTCCAGGAGGGTGCTGAAGAGAACACGACATTTCTGGGCATCAAGACTGGGGCTATGCGGGTGCTGCCCTGCAGGTAATCCCCTCATGGAGGGCTGGAGAGCATGTGTGTACTCAGCTGGGTGGGATTTTGCAGGCTGAAGGCCGAGGGCAGGCCAGGAGTGGCTGTTCAGACAGCCCAGCAGTGTAAAAGGCACTCCAGGGACACAACAGTCCAGGTTGCACCCTGGGGAATGTCACAGCTAGGAATTGGGGGAAGCCCCAGTGAGGGCTACGTTACCCAGCAGTCAGGTATGCCGCCAGTGGCTACAGCTAGGGTATCTTAACACTACAACAGTCGTGAGCTAGAGACAGGAACCAAACCAGTTACTGCAGCCAGAGACACAGCCGAACTGGTCTGCCCCACGGTGCATCCGAGCACAGCACGCTACTGGGCGCCTAGCCCCTGCAGCGCACCGGGAGAGGACTTGCTCTTCACACAGAAGACAGCTAGGCTAGCTTAGAGGCTCTCTTCACATGGTTGCTAAGGCCCAGAGCGGGATCTCAGCGTGTCTCTTCCAGTGCTCACGTCGACAGTCCTGGGACACGAGGACGATGTGCCCCTAGCACCTCTGGAGATCTCAGAGCATTTACCAGTGAGGTGTGGAGCGGGTTCCTGAGCTAGGAGATCCGTGCAGCAGAGCCAGGAATGGAGCCCAGCCGTCCTGGCTCCTTGTCTCCTGCCCTGTTGTCAGTGGGCAGGTTCCAGCCACTTGTTCTTACGCCTCCTTCCTGTGAATCCCGTTTCTGACCATGGTGCTGCACTGAGGGAGCCGCTACAGCCGGAAAGTGCTACAAAGAGAGCCGAGGCCACTAGTCACATGTAAAGCTGCCCAGGGTCCCTCTAGGGGAGGGTGTCATTCAGCCCCCGACAGCAGTCAGGAAAGCAGGTCACTATAGGCCAGGTAGCTCCTGGGGCAGGGTCACTTTATTACGGTTTGCCTGCCCTGCAGCGCGCTTTTCAGTTCAAGTTACCACAGGCCAAGGGAGTGACGGCTCAGGGGACTGGAATGGACTCAGCCTCTCCTGTGTGTCGTTACGGTCACGGATGCCCCCACAGGACAGGACGGGGAATCTGCTTGGTGTAATGAGTGGGCAGCGACGACCGTTGTTAATGACTTCACCGACCCAGCCATCGGCCCACCACGTTCTGACTGCCCAGGCGTCATCCCTGAAGTGGTTTCAAGGGCAGGGCAATTGTGTGGGTACTCTTCAAATGGGGTCCCTCCAACCCCGCACAATGTAGCTGAGGCCAGCTGCAGATCCTCAAGGGGCGCCTGCTGACTGACTGCAACGGCGGGCTAGCAGCTCTTCACCTGGCTGACCATGCTGTTAAAGGGCCGGGCACATTGTGCATATGCTGAGAGGGGTCTGTGTCACAGGGTGAAATCCAGCCCGAGTCATTGGACAGCAGTGATTGCCACCTGAAAGCCGTCTAGCCACACTGACAAATTCCTTCCTAGTTCTCCGCAGCCCAGCTAGCCCCTTGCCAGGCTCGGAGAGGTCACGGCTGGGTGGACAATGGAGCCTCCCTCTCCTCAGCAGGTGGGGGCCAGGCCAGAGCTGGCCGAGGCATGCTGGCCGGGCGATGGAGAAGAATTAAGTGCTACGCAGGCAGTCGCAGGGTGTTCTGGGCCAAGAGGACATCAATGCCCAGGCTGCTGATCCGGTAGGACACGCTGGGGCCCTGCTCCACTCCAGAGACGCGTGGGTCAGAGACGGAGATGGGCGTGTCTGGAAGCGGCTTTCCAGGCAGAACAACTGATCCAAACACACCCATGTGGCTTCAATGAAGCAGTAAAGATCCCGAATAGATTCACTACCACGTCCACGCCCTTCAGCTGGCGTGACTAGCGCAGGCGAGTGTCTAGTCCTGCACGTCTCACCCAAGTCACTGACCGTACATCAAGGCACCAGGCTGTTCTCTTCCTGTTTTTATGCTCTTGGAAAGGTCCCCTCCATGAAATGAAAGTGAAAGGTAATTCTGCCCTTCCAGCCAGAGGGTCATGCTCTGTGTGTTCCCTTTCTGCCGTTCTCGATGGAGGGCCCAGACCTGCCGTGCACACCTCCTGCATTGGGGGGTGTGTGTGTGTGTTCCCATGGCCCCTGCACCCAGGGGCTGTCAGGCTCAGTGCCCTAACCAGCTCCCAGGGGCAGAGGTGGAAAGGGAGAGCTGCTATCAGGCACACTAGCGCATGCTGGTGGAGAGCTGGGTTTAGACCTTGCTGAGGTTCAGACATGCCAGGAGTTCTCTATCCGGCAGCGTTGAGTGGGGCGCAGACATTCGACAGCTTCCTCTTCGCTGCTGTGGCACTAGTTATGCCCTACCAGGAGGAAGGCTGAAGCCTTCCATTTCACCTCCACAATGCATGTAAAGTTACTTCCCAGCAGCGTGGGGAAAACAAGCCAGTTTGCCGACACTTACAAGTGAAGCTCAAAGCCAAGGGGAGGCTGCTTTTTACATGAAGCCTGCGAAGGGGTTTGTATGCACGTGCCCCCCCCCCTTTTTTTTTATAAGAAAGGATTACTCTGCACAGAAAAGGGCCTTTTGTCTTAACCCTTTCGAGGGGGCCCTGGAAGCGTCCCAACAGCAGGAGCACTTTAATATGCACGCTCCCAATGGCCAGGCAGCAAGTCTCTTCAGCCAGGTAACTGCAGCAAAAACAATGCTCTTTGCCAGTGGCCCATTTACTCTGCCACAGACTGCATCGGACAGCAGAGTCATTTCTAGAGTTCCGGAACAAGCTTTCCCGTCTCGTTACCGTTCCTCCAGACTCCCCTGGGAGTGCTGTTCGGCAGCCCTTCACGATATTCAGCCTCCAGTTTTCCTTTACAAATGGCAACGGCCGGTTTGCTTTCTGGTTATTTAAGATCAATACAAGGCTATTTAAGATCAATACAAATCAAGTAGGATGGGTGTTAAGTTAGCTCTGTTTCCTAGGCCCGACACCCTCAGTCGGGCAGACATGCCATCGAATGTCTGAGGTAAACTGTGCAGTGCTCAAAGCGAGCAAAGGCAGAACACTGGGCTGGAGAAGCAAGATCATGGCCAGCGGTTCACCTGCTGAAAAGGGAAGAGGCCATTCGTAGGACAGGTCTAAAGGTCCTGCTTGTCTAATGGAACATGCTTTCGTCAGCTCAGATGAACGCATTGAAAGCAATCAAGGTTCACCAGTCCCACAGATGCCAGAGAATATTTGTGAAGAATTGCATTTCTGTATCTAGAGAATTCCTAGACCAGATATTCTGGACTTAATGCCAGACTGAGGCCAACTATGAAGTGATTGTCTACATTGGGTTACTCTGGGGAGCAGTGGAGAATTGACAGCAGTGAAGTAAAATGGGTGTCACTCACTACAGCTTCCCTGCTGAGAGGGAAAAGGGATTAGAACTGGAAAAGGTACAGAGAAGGGCAACAAAAGTAGTTAGCGGTCTGGAACAGCTTCCATATGAGGAGAGAGCAAAGAGACCAGGACTATTCAGTTTGGAAGAGAACTAAGGGAGGGATGGGGGTTGATTGAAGTCTAGAATATCATGCCTGGTGTGGAGAAAGTGAAAAGGGAGGAGTTTTTACCTCTTTGTAGAACACGAGAACCAGGGGTCACCCAGTGAAATCAATAGGCAGCAGGTTTAAACACAGACGGAAGGAAGAACTTTTTCACGCAACGCAGAGTCTAACGTGGGACTCGTTACCAGGAGATGTGGTGTATAACTGGGTTCAAAAGTTCATGGTGGGTAAGTCCAGCAACGGCTAGTAGCGAAGATGGTCAGGGCACCACCCCATGCTCGGTGTCCCTAAACCTCTGACTTCCAGAAGCTTGTGCCCTGTTCTGTTCACTCCCTCTGAAGCTTCTGGCACCAGCCACTGTTAGAAGGGAGCACCCTAATATTGGTAGATGGACCATTGGCCATACTGGACCAGCCCAGTCTTAGGAATTCCCAGCAGCAGGCAGCGCGGCAGACTACCTCAGGCTGCCAGGTTCATTTCAGAGGTTTTCAAGCCCAGCAGCTTCTCTGAGCACAGCATCTCTGCCGCAGCGGACTGGGGGGTGGAGAGTGGCAGCCAGCTGTGCGGGAAGGGAAAGTGAGTCGAGGACACGGGGGAAACCCCATGCTCGCCATGCACCGCAGCAGCTTTCTAAGAAAGTCATTTCAAGATCACCTTCCCTCAGGGCAGGGGTTCCCAGCTAGCAGAGTGCTAAGCAGACTCTCCTGGGTCCCCGTTGAGAACATCGATCTCAGCACAAAGTATGTTGGGTCTCTGTGAACTTTTCCACACAGGCCACAACGTAATGTGCCTGTGACAACTTCCCCCATTGCAGTGAGAGGGGACAGTGGAGCAAGGTCGTCAGCCTACGAAAGCGTAAGGATTCTAGAACTCCCCTCACCGGCTTTGGAAAGACGACAGGCCGAGTTTACCGACCCCACACCTAACACTGGGATCCAAGCCAGCCTTTAAACAGAGAGGTCCTTTGACCCAAGAACTGCAGAGTGCTTTAATGAACACTTACAGCAGATCCCGAACTGCTGAGCCCGGCAAGAATTACCCTCGTTTTACAAATCAGGAACTCCGGCATGGGAAGGGACTCGCCCAAGGTGAGCATCAGTGGCACAACTAGGGAGTTCTGAGTTCTAGCCTAACCCCTGCTCCTTTGAAACCAACCCTCTAACTCACGGACCGGGGCTCTCATGGCTTCCCCATCACGGCCCTGAGCACTCACCTCCGATTGTGCTTTCCTGGTACTCGTGAAACTGGCCCTTGACAAACCGCAGGACGAGGCTGGATTTCCCCACTGCCGACTCCCCCAAGAGGACAAGTTTAAATTGACAAATTTTGTTTCCAGCAGCCGGTCCATTCGGTCGAGCAGCTCCACCTCGACCCGCCATGGTCCGTTACAGTGCGGCAGTGCCAAGAGCCCGGACTTCAGGGGCAAGGGGCTTGTGCTGGTTGTGGACTCAGATGCACTCAGGGAAGGTGGGTTTCCAACTGGAAGAGGAAGACATTAGAGATTGCACATTAGTAGCATCCCCTGCTGAAGGATTTTGGTCTGATCATGTATTCCAGAAGCAAGCTCATCTCCTGCAGAAGCAGGAAGGGATCCCCTCCCAATCAGAATCTCCAAGTAAACAGGGTGCATTATCGGTCCATCCTTGGAGGAAGGATCAGGTACTTGTTAATGCTCGAGACCAACCCCCCTCAGCTTGCCCTCGCCAGTGATCTCACAGAGTACTTGGTTTGAAGTGAGTCCCAGACTCTGGAGCTGTCCCCAGGGACACTAGCCACGCACTGTGCTCTCCTCGCTGCTAAGACAGGTAGCAGAGAACCCTAGAGCAATTCCTGCCAAGTGTTTGGACACTTGCCTACCGAAAACCGGATCACGAACAGACTAGTTCCATACAGGCCACAGATCAGCCAAATTGCATGAGCCTCCCCCACCTCCAGCCCCTTTGTGAAACTGTTCGATGGCAGAAGTCATTAGAACCAATACACACACTAGGGGACTTGCTCTGGCAAGTCATGCTAGCTACACATGGAGTGGGATTAACCCATCTTCAGTGCCTTGGCATGGACGGTACGACAGAGCCCCTTTCCTCCCTTATGAGCAAACAGAGTATCAAGCCACCCCCCTAAAGTGAAGCCGTGGTCGGAGCTCAGGAATGCTTACAACTCTAAGACCTTAGGTAACTTAGCCAAATGCAGTCTGTTAAACCAGGGGTTCCTGAAGCACCGGGTGGTCCAGAGATCGGAACACAGGAAGTCATGGGGAGTTGGGGTGTTAAGGGCAGAGGATCTTACAAAGTAGTCTGTAGGATGACACATTAAGAATCATTGTATGAGAATCACACCACTAAGGAAGTCAAACATTTATTCTGTTTGGATGGGAAGAGAGAGACTCCCAACTAAGAACACAAGAACGGCCAGACTGTCAGACCAATGGTCCATCTTGCCCAATAACTGGTCTTCTGACTGGCCCATGCCAGATGCTTCAGAGGGAAGTAACAGAACCACGCAATTTGTCAGGGGCTGGATCGCTGGATATCCACCCCCAGCTACTGGCAATCAGAGGTTTAGGGACACTCAGAGCATGGGATTGTGCCCCGACCAACTTTGCTAGCAGCCATTGCTGGACCTACCCTCCATCAACTTCGCATTCTTTTGTGAACCCAGTTATACATTTGGCTTTCACAACATCCCCTGTTCAACAAGTTCCACAGATGGACTTGGCGTTGGATGAAGTTGGTTTTAAACCTGCTGCCTTCATTGGCTGATCCCTGGTTTGTGTTTTATGTGAAGAGGTAAATACTTATTTACTTTCTCCACACCAGTCAGACTTTTATAGACCCCTCCCATCCCCAAGTCATCTCTTTTCCAAGATGGACAGCCCCCATCTTTTTAATTTCTCTGCATACAGAAGCTGTTCCATGCCCTCAATCATTTTTGTTGCCCTTCTCGGTACCTTTTCCAACTAATGCGTCTTTGAGATGGATTAACCAGAGTTGCAAGCAGCATTCAAGGTGTGGGCGTCCCATGGATTTACATATGGCATTAGGATAATTCTGTCTTATTATCTATCCCTTTCCTCATGGTTTCTAATAATTAGCTTTTTGATTACTGCTGCTGCACATATGGTTCACAGAACCATTCACGAGGACTCCAAAATCTGACTGACTAACGTAGACCCCATGATTTTGTATGTAGAATTAGGATTATGTTTTCCAATGTGCGTTACTTTGCATTTATCAATAGTGAATTTCATCTGCCGTTCTGTTACCCAGTCACCCAGTTTTGAGAGATCCCTTTGAACTCTTCGTGGCCTGCTTTGGATTTAAACGATCTACAGATTTGCCACCTCACTGTAGTAGACAATGCTCCAGAGGCTATGAAGTGACCAGTCTCATACATAGAAATTAACAAGTATCAGGGGGTAGCCGTGTTAGTCTGTATCTACAAAAACAACAAAGAGTCTGGTGGCACCTTAAAGACTAACAGATTTATTTCAATAAATCTGTTAGTCTTTAAGGTGCCACCAGACTCTTT